ATTTGATTTGGAGCTTATAGGCTACAAAGACGTTTGCGGCCGGGATGAGTACTATATGTATAATTAATTAATATGTCAATGTCACTTACTCAGTCTAAAATGGAAGTGAAAACAAGACCAGTGAGGAGTAAAAACAACAAGACTGACAAAAATACAAGCCCAGAGTGAGAATGAACGAGATAACTATGAGATAACAGCTCGACCTGGCAAAGAAACAACCATGTGCAGTGAAGTAGGCGTGTCCGATTATCTGATTAATTAACACCTCGAGATTTTAAACCTTTTCCAGATTTGTGACGGAACGAAGAGATGACTTTACTGCTGTTATAGCTTCACTAAGGATAGAAGGTTACTTAGGTACAACACAAATTTTAGATGGCTTGTTCTCTCAGGAGCAGTACTTTGCATACGAAATTCCATGAGGTGCAAGCGAAAGTTCATGGGTTCGAATTTTACTTTTACCGTGCTATAGCTTTGCGAAAAAAAGCCAAGCATTTTAAAGAATCATACCACATAAAACTAGAGCCTTTGCAGTTTCTAAAGATACCATACTTTCAGTAGATAAGATACATAAAAGCTGAAAACAGCATCTGAAAGTAGATGGTGACCGGAAGTGAGTGGCTTACTCTATTTACTCTTGTACATATATATAGTACAAAACTTTTATTAAAGTTACCTGGTGGCAACTTTAAAAATTACAGGTTCGCGGCCTTTTAAGTGTGTGGCTTTTCTATTGTACACTAGTTGATGTCAGCCTACTCAACACTGTGACCATTCTTCATTCCTTTCCTCTGTTTGTGTGCATATTAATGCTACGTAATGTTTGTTTATTGCAGATACATAATGAATGAAGTAAAGGACATGCAAGAGTTAGTTAGTTTAAAGGGCCACTGTACTGAATTTTGAGATATTTATTTTATGGTCTTAATATGATTGCCTGATCATAATGATGTGTTCTCTGGTTCCAACTCCCATTGTCTAAACAAGCGTAACAGTGTAAAAAATATTCCTATAATTGATTTCACCACCTTGCAAGAATAACGGGATTTCATTAAGACTTATAGAGGCTCTCTCTACCTTCTAATGCTTCTAGAGAAGTCTTTAGACAGTATCTCTATGTTGTCTTGCTGTTAGAAAGCTCTTAACTTTGTCCTGTGTTTAAGCCGCCATTTTGCTTGCCGTGACCACACCCACTCACGTAAAGGAGCGTGGGCGGGTGGTTGCTAAGGCTTGTTATTTCTCCAATACAACATGTATAGAAGAAATGTAAGTGTGGACATACAAGGTCGGGTTATATTCGCGGCTGCTAATATTCGCGGTGATAAAAACTAATAAAGAAGTTTAATTAAATACCATGGAAACAAATTGATTGTTGCTATGACAATTGACCACGTGTTTATACAATTACAGTGTTCAGCAGCTAATTAGCTACTCTTGAGCAGTTTGAGTAGAGCCATCCAGACTCCAGCTCTGTATCTGTTATCTTCTTGTATAGATGGACCGCTACCTTCGAGTTCTTCGCTACAAAATCACTGCTGGTCGGTCGGTCATGATTATAAACCACACCCAAGTTAATAAAACACTAACTAGAATGGGTGGAGAGTCCCAAGACACGGCGAGGTAGAGCGAGTAGAGTATTTCTGAAAAGAGCTGGCTAAAGCAGCTTCAAGGAGTCCAAGGATTAGTAATAGCAAGAAAAATAACAACTCAAGAACACTGCAATCGGGTGCTGTGCTTCAATACCGCGCCGTTTTCAATTAAAATAGCATCTAGTTGCTATGGCAATTGCTAGCCGCGGGAAAAAATCGCGAATATTAGCAGCCGCGAATATAACCCGACCTACGGTATATACAAACATCGCACGTGGGTGAAATCAATTATAGCATAGATAATAGAGTAAATGAAAGGGATTGGAAACGGAAGCGTGGGCGTAGCCCAACCTCCATTCATTTGCATTGCTGCTAGGCTGACAGAGGCTCGTTGAAATTTTTTTGTCACAATTTACCCTTGATTTTCTTTCTTTTAGGAGCAATATCTCGCAAAGAAGTGTTCCTATGCAAGTGAAATTAATGCATCAAGAAGCCTAATGTTTCCTCTTTATAATTCTGTTTTCTATTGTACAGATAATTTTACCATGTTAATGTTATGGCACTTTTAAAACCATAAAATGTATTTTTTGTCATTATAATCCCTTTTTTGAAAACAAGCTAGAGTAAAATGCAATATCTTTATAATCATATGAAAGAGTTTCCATTTGCATATCGAATGATACTAGTTAAGGTTAGAATCCATGAAGCATGAGTTTGTTACTACAGAAAAAGGGCGAAAAATGAAAAATTTTTGTTGTACCTATAACTCGTTGCAAAATAACGTTGTAGAAGTAAAAACCTTGCTGCAGGTAGTCCAACACATTCTATATCGAACGGTAGGTATATCATAAGTAAGCGTCCTCTTGGATCTCCAGAAATATCCTTCGAAGTCCTTGCAGTACAGCCTCACTAATGGAGGAGATGGGAAATCAACCAGGTATTGGGCCGGTAACCAATAGCAACATCAACCAGCCTACGCCCCCGTTTCCAATCCCTGTGTACTCTAATACCTATGATTATAGCATACCGTGCTTTGCAGGTTGCTTGACCTCGCAAACTCGTTAATCACGTGACTTTCCCCATACTAATAATAGATGTCACGTGAGCAGGAAGTAAGAAAATTGGGTCAACCAACCTGCAAAGCACGGTAGATATGTACCAGGAACAGGATAGGAAACTCGATCACGTGACTGTTCTATCCTGTAGTTAAAATGTCGCAAATTTGAAAGAAAAGGTACCTGGTTTTGTGGGACTGTAACTGTGCACCAGAAGGAATCCAGCGGTAGTAATTAGTCTCAATATGTAGCCAAGGTTCTTTACCGTGTTAATAGCTTGACGAAT